TGCCCTTAAAAGAATATTGGTTCATCTAGGAGGTAATTATCTCAATTAATTTTAAGTGTTATATGTGGAACAATTGAATTTAAGTATTTAAAGGTCGTAAGATTCACGAATATTTTATTTTTGATAAATGTTTGGACAAGCCAAATACCCATTATCATTCATTATGCATTTTAGAACTATAGAAGGGTCGTTGGGGACGAGTAGAAAAAAAAAAAAAAAGAACACGATTCCGAGTCCGAACGAGCTCGTACGAGCTACCGGCAGCGCGCCAGGTCCTGTTGATGTGATGAAACAACCTGGGGCGACCTTGGGTCGCACCTGTTGGTTACCAAGAGCTTTCGGTTCGACCGTTTGCGTCCGTTTCCGACCAAGCTGGTCTGTAAAGGTGTCTTTTGACCCTTGAACCTCTTGGAGGTGTATTCTACATCTATAAGCTTGAATCATTCAACACAAATTTAAAAACTAACAGCTCTTGCATTTCATTTTTTAAAGTTCATAGCATATTATATTCTTTGATTTTTCGTTGAGTCTTAGGAGTTCCAAACAATACTATTGTTCCCCGAAGGCGTATATATTTAAAATAGCGTTACACACAAGTAATAGTCATTGCATCTTGGAGACGTTTGTCGTTAACTGTGAGTATTTTACGGGGCAATTTCGTCTTAAGGAGAACATAACTATTACGTGCCTCGACTTTAATTTTGGAATTGTTTTCTTCATTCTTCTTAAGCTATCTTCTTGATATTCACAAACCATACAAACAACAATCTGAATACGAATTTTTTGTGAGTTCATAAGATGATAACCAAAGAAAATTAAATGTTTTCTTCAAGTGCACAACCGACCGCTACACCGACTACTAATTCAATTACGTTGATGGTAGCCGCTCTTGTCCAAGGTGAGAGACAGCTTAATTTCAATGGCTCTGATTTCAAGAAGTGGCAGCAAAAGATGCTTTTCTACCTCACAACTCTTTTTCTTCAGATGAGCCTTTGATCGTTCCCGAAAGTGAGACCAACATCCAAAAGCTTACGGCCTCGTATGTTTTGCATCACAGTGATTTCTTGTGCAGATATCTCTTACTTAACAGACTGGACGACACACTATATAATGTGTATAGTTCGATTAAGACGCCTAAGGAGTTGTGGAGCTCTTTGAAGGCAAACTACATAACGGAAGATGTTGACATTAAGAAATTTCTTGTCGGTAAATTTTTAAAATACTTGATGGTTGAAACCAAGTCAACAGTTAGCCAAGCTTAAGAGATTCAAATCATCCATATGATATGTTGGTCGAGGAATTATTTGTGAACGAAGCCTTTCAAGTAGCGGTTATTGTTGAAAAGTTGTCTCCTTTGTGGAAGGGCTTCAAGAGTTATTTCGTGCATAAATACAAAGAGATGAAACTCGAAGGTTTAATAGTTCATCTTTGGATGGAAGAAGATAGTTGAAAATCTGAAGTATTGACCAAATGGAGCGAGATAGAGGCTAAGATAAACGTGGATGAGCCGAGCTCGAGTAAGAAACGTATAAATGCTTTTCATGGCAAACCAAAATGGGATGCCAAGAAATCCAAGGAATGTTGTTATGATGCCGACAAACCCGGGTACCTTGTCAAAGATTACGAAATTGTTAAGAGGGGTAAAGGATCGTGCAAATTATCGAGGACAATATAAGACTTGTCAAAGCTCGATCTTTCCGTCGTGGTTTGAGTACATACTTGATTAAAATTTCACGTTCATAGCGGATAAGAACAATAGCCACTTGACTCCTAGGCACTTATAAATGTTCTCCTGCATCCCTAACTACGGAATGAAGTATTTGTGGAATTCCTCGACTTCAAGTGCTGAAGGAACCTACAAGGTGGTGTGCTAAGAATGACTATTGGAGATCGTGGATGTTCTTCATGTCCAATACCTCCACAAGAATCTTGGTTTCGGACCATTGATTAAGGTAGGATTTAGTTTAGTTCATGATTATTGATAAATATGTTATGTCGAGATATGTCGTATTCTTAGCATAAGTAGACCTTAATAAAGGTCATTTTACCACTATAGTAATATTTGTAATCTGTTGTTTGACGATAATATAAATAAGTTTGTCTTATTTATTGGAGTGTTCCAATTAATGGTATGAAAAAATAGGATTTATGAATTTTAACACTAAAGTTTGTGAATCTAGAATTGATTCATACAGCAAATACGAAATATGTGTTAAAATTGAAAAGTGGCAAAAGCATCGTATAAACGGTTGGTGGATACACTAGTCCTGTCAAGATAATTCACACCGGTAAATGTGATTTAAGAGTTTGTGCATACTCGAGTATGAAAGAAATATACTGTAAGAATGCACAACCTGAAGTGGGGCATGAAAAGCGTAATAAGAGCACCGCCTATGATCCCTAATCGGGCCCCCATCTCCGACGGCTCCAGTAAGTTAGTCAAAGGATCCATCAGTGTTTAGCTTAACCCAAGGAGACTCGGGTCTCAGCCAAACAACAACTCTACGACGTGGATGCTGGACAGGTGGCAACAGAGGTGGTGCAAAGTAGTGAGGCGGGCGAGCATCCTGTCCAGTCTCTAGGGGTGAGTATGCCCAGAGAGATGAGGAAAGAAAGATATCGGTCAACCTGCAAAATAATATGGGAACACAAAAAAAAAAAAAATATCCCTATACTTCGCATGATTCCTTTCTATCCAGATGGACCAAAGGATCAGACAAGGAATAAGGAAGCCCACGTGTCTATCGTGTGTGATATGTGTGAAAAAACTCAAGAGCTCAAAGAAGATTATTTGTGGTATTAGTGTAAGTGGCATATTAGTGCAAGTGGCATAATGCTCCCCTCTCAGTCTGAAAGTCGCCGGTCTCAGCACAACAGCAACAACGCGAAGGGAAAAAGAACCCCCTCGCCCGCATCACAATATCAATCGGTAAAAGGCGCAGAAGAAGGCGCCATGGGAAGACAGAGATAGTCGGGGTAAGCAGGTCGGTCCAGATGGCCTCGAAGAGAAGGTTAGGCCGGTCACCCAGTCGTACTTTTCCCCAAGCCCAGATCGTGGAGAATGCATCCGAAGATGTAAGTCTCCACCTCATACCGTCCAAACCGTCCTTCGAGATGGGTATCTGTTGGATCTGATCTATAGAATCCTCTCCAACCTATACCTATCCCAACTCCCCTCCATCCACAGGTCTTTCACCTGCAGAAAAGGTAGGTGGGTGACCTGTCTAGTGCTCGAAAGGGGACCCTCACCAAACCACCACTCATCTCAAAAGCTAATGTCCCTCTCACCTACAGTCCAAAATATGTGCTTCTGAGCATGTCTACCAACCATGGTGAGCCGCCTCCACTGTCTGCTATCACGGGCGGTGGCCGTCACCCTACAAAGGTGAGCAGCGCCTCCAAGACAGTACTTCCGATGAAGATACTGGACCCAAAGAGACTTACCCTCCCTAAAGCGCCACCACATCTTATAAGAGAAAGCAGTGATGACATCCGAAAAGCTCCAGATCTCGATGTTCCCCTCCGAGAAGGGGCAGCAAACGGAGTCCCACTTCACCCAGCGGATCTGTCTCCTCTTCGGGAGCCATCCTAATGCCCTCCGAAATAACGAGCCAAGATCTGATCTAGCTCGTGAATAGTAGACTGATGGGGGTCGAGGACTGTAAGGAGGTGAAGCGGAAGGGCGCTGAGGGTGCTCTTGATCAGAGCAAGCCGACCCCAAAAGAGAGGTGTCTGTGAGACCAGCCTGAGATCCGGTCAATCATCCTTTGCCTAACGTCTGTAAAGAGCGCATGTGAAAGATGGCCCTTGTACAGAGGGGCGCCAAGATAGGTGATGGGGAGGTCGCCACGCGCGAAGCAAGTGCACTCGTGGACCCAATGGGCCCACTAGTCCGCAATGTGAGGATCAAGGGTGAAGGTTCTCTGTTGCACACTGACAAGTTCACTGGAAATCGAGCTATAATGCCTCAGAAAGCGCATGAACTCAGCTAGTCCATCATTATCCGCACGAGTGAAGATAATAATGTCATCCGCATAAGAAAAGTGCGAGATGAGGGGACCATAGCCACGCGTGCTATAGGTCATCCTGTGGAAATCCACTCACATAGTTTTAACTATATATCTATTCCAATAATTTATCTCCTATTTTTACATCACATCAACTTTAATCACTTACTTTAAATATTATTTAATTTCACGTTTGAAATCATCAATTACTTTGATTTTATTAAAAATAACTTACTTTAACAAATCAAGTTAATCACAAAGCATTTGATTCATCCAATCCAATCGCCCCTAAGAACTCGTGTTCAAAAATTAATTATATATTTTTTGAATTTTGTTTTTTTTTCGAAACGACGATTATATTAAAAACTGAAAAACTCAAAAGAGTACAATTGAGGGTGTTAACTAACACCAAAGGAACCAGAAAACCTGACCTACCCCCTCGGACCGCTCCGAGGGGTACAACCTCCGTCAAGGAGACCAACACCAACACCAAAACAAAAACTCCATGAAGAAGACTAAAACTCCAAAATGGAGACTAAAACCCAGACACTGCTGGACTTAACTAAACAAACCAAAGCTAAAAACATAGGAAAAAAGCACACACCTAATATACAAATAGAGTAAAACCTCCCCTCATCCTAGCAGAAGAACCACACAAACCACCTAAACTGACAACCAAGACCCAAACCACATCGAATAGATCCGACGGAGCAACAAGGCTAGACTTCAAACCCAGAAACTGCGGTCACTCAACCGCCTAGTCAGATTATCGGACCAGATCTGGACTTCGTTAGACGTCGGTGCCTGGAAGAAGAAGGGGAGGCAACCAAAGACACCAGATGGCTCGGAACAAGACTTTAAGAGGCACCGCCCAAGGCTTCAAGCAGTATAGTACGTCAGCCCGGCGGCCTGACCGGACTGGACTCATCAGCGGCGGCGCGGTCAAACAGACACGGCAACCTCCAAGAAGCGAACGAAGAAGCACACTTACCAACGAGCATCCTGCAGCGCAGCTGACTTCCACGGTGGGGCGGGACAAGGCGGCCGACGACCTCTCCCGGATCCGGAGAGAGAGGCTGATCGATGAGAACCACCGGCGGCCAAACTCCCACAAGCTCCGATCGAGGCGGAGGAGAGCACCCCCGCCGTGCCTCGACCGAAGCCGGCCTGGTGGTCGAAGCGGTCAATCGCTGGAAGAGAGGGGGCGACGGCAGAGATGATGGTTTGATTTTGGGGATTTAGGGATTTTTTCTTTGCGTAGAGAGAAAAAATATTTAGTCCTTCTTTTAAGATCTTATATATTTTTTGAATTTAACTCCTCCTAATTTTGGTGTGATCATATTAGTAATATTTTCATTTCTCATTGGCAAAAAGGCAAAATGAAGCTCCATCCTCTCTCTCCTCCACCTCGCTTCTGATCACCACATCCACTCCGTCACACCACCGTAGCCTGGCCTCAATCCTCACCGGACCTTATTTCCTCGGAACCTTACCCCGACAAAAACACACACAATGTCCCACAGAGACACGATTCCCCTCCACCCGAGCTCCCAATCGGACATTGACGAAATCGAGAACCTCATCAACTCCTACCCCTCCTCCGTCCGCCCCGCGTCGCCTCCACGCGCCTCCATCCCCATCTCCTCAAACCCCCCGCCACCTCCTTCGTTTGCCCCCTCCAACATCCCTCCTCCCTCCTTTTCCAAACCTGCGCCCGTTCCCTCAGCAGCCCCCAAACCCCCCGTCCCCCCTCCACGTGGATCCACCAGCGGCGGGGGTAGCATTGCCTCTTCCGGGTTCGGGCCCGCCCCGAACACCCTGACGGAGCCCGTCTGGGACACCATCATGCGGGATTTGACGAGGATAGTCAGCAATTTGAAGCTCGTCGTTTTCCCCAATCCGTTCAGGGAGGATCCCGGGATGGCGTTGAGGGACTGGGATCTATGGGGACCCTTTTTCTTCATTGTGTTCCTAGGCCTCGTGCTCTCTTGGTCTGCATCTGTTGAGAAGGTTTGTGAAATTTTAGTTTTGATGCCTCCCGAAAATGATATGTAAGGATCTATGAAATGTTGGGTGTATGACTGATTGCCTTTATGTCCCTGATGTTGATGTGGTGTGAGTGAGGCGTAGTTTGTCGAACGAGCGTATTAAACATTCAGGACAGTGAGTTTATAAGGTATTAGATATTAGTCTTCTTGTGGTCATCTTAAAGTTATACACTACTGGAATTTTGTGTTCTACTTATTGTTTGTGTCTTGTGAATGAGGTTAATGCGGACAACCTTGGGCTATTGTCTCATAGAGACTCTAGAAATAAAATATGAATAGCTTAAAACTGAGTGAATTTAAGTTATATGTTGTAATGAGTACTGTACTAACGGTGTCCTTGAATTCTGGTTGTTAGTCTGGAAGGAATGGATCAATTTGTTTGATCTCACTTTCTGTCCTGCGTGTGTAATTACTTCATCGAAGTAGATGAGGTAATGTGTTTCCTCAAGTAGCTATTTGCAAGTAAATTCTTTCCGTCGATGGAAAAAATCAGATGAACGTGGAGTCATTGAGGGTACAAAATAGATTGGGTAGAAAGTGGGAGATTTGATTGAGTTAAAAATTGTTAAAATGTATATATATTAGTGTACTTTTGTTCTGGATTGTGTTCTTTGGTCAGTGATCAGAATTTTTGGCTGGATGTCGGAATTAGAATTAACCAGAAGAAGTTAATGTCTCTGGTAAAGGTACCACCGTACATGGCGTGTTAATTCATTTGTGGGGAACTAAATTAGACCAATTATTTGATGCTGTATGGGTTCACAAATCACAAGTGTGTATCTAGTTTAATGATTCATGATCTTGTGGTTCCCAATTTCCTTGTGACATGATTTAATGAATGTGGATGATGTTCCACTTTGGAATATTGTGCCTTTAGTTGCTCAACTGTTTGAATAGCATAAGTGTTGGCATTTCTTTGTTTCTTGTTTGTATTTGTAAAAGTATGTGTGTTCACTATCTTTTGGTATTTCTATCAAAGCCAGTAGCTCTGAAAACAGGGTTATTGAGTTATTAGAAAACTGAGTCTCTTTGCTGATCATTCTCCGATGTTATTTCAACAAAGCACTACTGTACACCAGTATTATCAATGGTGGATCGAGGAAAATTTACAGCAAGCTGAAATCCCTCTATAGCAGCTTCTATGGCGGTCTGTGGCGCCACCATAACCACCATCCTTCACAAATGTCTAATGGCGTCCGCTACTCCATACGGCTATGGCGGAAATTCGACAACACTTGTACACATGTTTAAATTTAGCGAGACCAAGTGTTAATGCAAATCTTAACAAATATTATTCTGAAGATTATATAGATCTGTAATATTCTTGTTGGTTTTGACATGATTGAATATATGTGGGTTGATCGTCAATGATGACATGCAACATCCAACATTGTCCAGAATATTACAATCCAGTTTGGTCCACTTATGATAATTGGACAAATGTTAATGATCGACAAAAGGTTACTCTGATTCTGTGTCCTGTTTCTATTATCTCTGGACTGTATAGCATTATTAACCTCAAGGTGTGTGGTTTTTGCAATGTTGCTGTGATAATGTCAGGCACAAGCCTTGAATATCTCTTTGTTAATGTCTTACATTATGTTCTTCACTTAAGGCTATCCTTTTGCACAAGAGGTGACATCTCCATCTACGGCCTCCAGATGAAACTTCGTGTAACTTGATTCTATTATTTCGGACCCTTGCAAGTTTCAAGATTAGCAAACGTGGTTTTGGATTTGGGAATTACTAATTAGTGACTAGCAAAACGTTGTCCCCTCTTGTAATAGATTAAGAAATCTTTCGTTTTGTAATATGTTTTCTGCCTTTTTTTTTTGTTCTCCATTGGCTTGAAGCTGGGAAAAATGATGGATAGTCGAATTCAGAACATTAAATCATGCATATATCAAACCTAAGAACCTGTTACAACTTCATTTTGAATTTACTAATGGTCTTCTCCCTTTGCAGTCTGAGGTTTTTGCAGTTGCATTTGCACTGCTTGCAGCAGGAGCTGTCATTTTGACCTTGAATGTTTTGCTGCTGGTAATATTTCCCCTTCTCTCTCTCTCTCTCTCACAAATGATTGCTGTAGTTTAACAATTTTACGTGACTCTTTTGTAGATGCTCATGATGTACATTTCTTGCAAATTGCTTGCAGGGTGGCCAAATTATCTTCTTTCAGAGCCTGAGCCTTCTAGGCTACTGTCTGTTCCCTCTGGACATTGGTGCCTTGATTTGCATGCTCAATGGCAATGTAATCGTCAAAGTTGTTGTGGTGGCTCTCACTTTGGCATGGAGCTCTTGGGCTGCTTACCCGTTCATGAGCACTGCCGTTAACCCAAGAAGGAAAGCTCTTGCACTTTACCCAGTCTTGCTCATGTATGTATCTGTGGGCTTTCTTATAATTGCCATTGACTGATCGAGATATTCCGTGTTTTTTNTCTTGATCGTATCTAGCAAATTTTCTTCGATATGACCATTTTTTTGTGGATTTGTGTGCATACCCTCTCCCTCGTTTTCTTCTTTGTTGTCGTCTTCTTTTTTCTTTTCATTTATTTTTTCCTTTTTTTTTGGCGTGGGGGTTGTTATGATATGAATTATGTATGCCTTACTAGTTAAAGAAAAGGAAGCTAGCTTGTATGTCGATTGTTTTAAATTTTTATAATGAAGTTTACCCAGTTTTGAATCTTTTTCCTTGTGGAAAAGGTTAAATAGCAGTTTAGATATATTTTTGCTATACTTTCTGTTGGAGAGAGAGAGATGTGAGAGATTTATCTACTAATTACTTTCCAATTAATCAAAATCTATAAACATTTTTCTTTTCATTTGAACCAATTATAATAGTTCTCATACATTCGATAGGTCTGTTAGTTTCAAAACCCTTACTACACGGGTGTTGATTTTATAAATGTTATTTATTCTTATTATTATTATTATTATTATTGAAAAATCTATAGTAATATAAAGAGGTTGATGGAAAAATACAAAAATAGTATGTTTGACTTGAAAAATAAAGTTTTGACTTACTAATTTAAGTAAACCAATGGGACCCACGCGTTAAAATTAAATTTAAGTAATAAATATCTCATAGCAAAATTAGTTCAGATTTTCTTAACCAATGTCAACAGATTCTGTGGGATTTTATTCTTAACCAATCTCAACAGATTCTGTGGGATTTTATATGTTCACAATTTTCATAATTACTACAAGATCTTGAAGATAATGATCGAAATTACCTTACCAAAATTATCAGATTTTGTTAACTATATTGCTAAGATTTTGATTGCCTTACCAAAATTATCAGATTTTGTTAATTATATTGTTAAGATTTTGATTAATATATAAAATTTTATATATGAATTGTTACCAATTTTTCACGATAACTGCAGATTTTTAGGGTAGCTACAAAATTGACGATTTGGACGACTTTTCACATTTGTTTGGATTTTTTTTTTTTTTTACCAACAGATATATGATCCGATTTTGTAGGATTGTATTTGTTCACAAATTTCTTAATTACTACATATTGCATCGAAATTGTCCAAATATTTTTGCCAACTCATCACAAGCAAAATCAAGTAAATCGGATAGGATCTGACGGAATATTGATCATATCACAATAAAAAATATCGGATAGCTGTTGAATCTGACGGCATATTAATTATATCACTATAAATATCCTATCTTTCTAATGCATTCATCGTATTATTACATTCAAACTCATACTCTCGGTTCCTTCTACATAAAATCTATAATCTATAATAATATAAAAAGATTTGACATTTACTTGAAATAGAAGTAGAAATCCCGCCTAAAAATTTAAAACTTACTAATTTTGGTAATTTTTTTCAGAATTTTTGAAAAATCCCGCCACTGATCATTAATTTCGAATTTGAAAATTGTTTTGAATTCATTTTGTGGTAAATTTTATTACTTATGGGAACAAATCTGATTAGGATTTTCAATATAATAAAACGTATTCCTTAATTAGATGATTCAATTCCAAATATTGGAATGATTTAGTCAAAAATTTTAATTCTAATATCTAATAAAATGATTGACTCAAAATTTATTTCTGTATATCAATTATGGAAAACTCTCCCAAGATTATTGGGTGGAAATAAACTGACCGATCAAAATAACATCAGATAAAAATCATGTCCAAGTTAGTTCTTTCTCGCCATCTCTCCCAAAATCAGAACCAAACAAATCAGAGCCAAATTAATTCTCCCAAAATCAAATACAAAATCATTTCTCCAATTGGGGCTCGACATGAGGAGATGGGCACGGTGGAGCTCCATCGGTTCTTCTCCATGCTCGATGAACGACGATGGCAACATCAGCGGGGAGGAGCTCTTGGGATCTGCCTGCTGGAGGAGATGCTGCGGGCGATGATTGGAAAGATTGACGCGGACGAGCACGCCTAGGTCGACTCCGAGGAGTTCGGCGCCCTGTACGCGGCGGCATTGAAAGACGGCGGAGACGACGAGGGGGATGGCGGTGAAGAGGACGTGCGGGAGGCATTTAGGGTTTTCTATTGGGTAGGGGCAGGTTCATCACGGCGGATGAGCTGAGGTCGGTGCTGGCGGCGTAGGGGCTGAAGTAGCTGACGACGCCGGATGAGTACCGGAGTATGATCGTCAGAGTCGATTTAGGTGGCTACTAGAGGGTCAACTTCGGCGACTTCCGACAGATGATGAAGTGTCGCTGCTTTGTCAAGGTAAATTTATTGTTTTTTTTATATATATAATTTTTTTTGTTTTGATGTGCAATTGCAATTGCCAATTGGTTGGCGTAGTTAATTGATTTTGATTCTTGCCTCTTAATTGGGCTGAGAAATAATTTATGTGTTTTTTATCGCATTCCATCTTCTTCAGGTCCTTCAAAGCGTGAGGGTTCGACTTTGATTTTAAGCTTGCGGACGATTCCATGCTCGCCTTGTGGAGATACGAGCAGTATCTGTAAGATGTCGTTATCGTTGTCTCGCCTACGACCGACCGTAAGTGAACACAGCGATACACACTTTAGTTGTATGGATTTTTTTTTACCAAATTGATAGTTTTGTTTTTTCTTTTCTTTTCTTTTTTCTTTTTTTTTTGGTTATGTTGTGGAGATTAGGGTTTGGTGGGTCTGCAGATGTTGCATCGTTGTTGGAATTTGTTGATGCTGGTCATGTTTGATTCTTGCAGTTGATGCATCGACGTCTGAATTGATTGGAAGGTTGCGGAGTGCAGGGTACATTTTGACGAGGTGGGATTCATTCAGTTTACGAGCTTCTGTTCGTGCTTTTGTTATTGATTCGAAGAAAATGATGGTTTGTTTCTGCATCTTGAAAGATGCCTGTTCGTGCTTTTGTTATTGATTCGAAGAAAATGTTGGTTTGTTTCTGCATCTTGAAAGATGCTAATTAATGTGAAATGTTTACCCATAGGATCCAACAGTTCTGGTGATTGATCACACGAGCTATGCAGTTTTGGAGACTAAAGGGGATCATCTTTGATCGCTAGCGATGATTTTATTTAGTCTGAGGCTATTCTGGGCAGAAAGAAAATCAAGGTAAATTTTTTTTTCATTCTTTGAAGGAGCTATTTAGCTGCATCAATAGCTCGCACCAACGTGACATAGCTATTTCCTGAAATTATGTCCTTATATGTATCAGTAGCTTTTGGATCTTTGTGGATTGAAATGCTTTGGTATTAGTATTGAATGTCGAATGAAGCTTTTTGCACGTGTTTCGACTAATTAAAAATTGAAGCTATCATGTAACTCAAATATGAGGAATTGGATGGTTTTCAGTCTTTCCCTTATGGTCTTAATATCTACAACTATTTTCTAGAGATGTAATTGGATGGTTTTCAAGTTCATGGGGAGCCATTGCTTGAAGCCATTGCATGCTGATTTGTGCGGGTCCTTTTGTCGTGTGGCGATTGGATTCTTTTGAGAATTTTGTTTTGTGTTGGGTTAGTCTAGATATTGGGTTTCATCATGATATGTGATGAAATGATTCTAAAATGATATGTGTAATGTGGTATGCGGGTGTGCATTTGGAATTGGTGAATCGAATTTCGGATATGTTTTTGGAATTTGTACCTATGTGATTGCCGTGCATGTTGAACGGCTTTTATTGATCTATTTGTTCGTCAATTGTTATTATTTTTTTTTTTTCTTGATAGTTCTGCTTTGTTTATCTGGAGATCGTGTAAAAAAAGCTGGTAACATAAAGGAAATTTGGAGTTGTAAGATGTCTTGATTTGCACTTTCGTGACTCGAATCGAACGACAATGATATGTTGAGGTGCATCGTTATAAAGCTTTGTTAGTGAGATTTTATGAATCTTATATGTTGGAGCTAATTGGTGACTCAGTGTATATGGTTCATTTCCCTGTAGTTTTGATGGATCAATACTAGATATACACAATTTCCATCAATATGTGATGGGTTGCTGATATCGTCACAACTTTACAGGCTATTCTCTTTATTTCTTTAAATATGGATCACAAATTGATGAGGTGTTCCATGATTATAATGATAATACAGGTTTTATCTAATACTTAAAATTTCTACTCTTTTTTTTCATTTATGCTATTAGGATTCTAGGTCTGTCACTCACTCGGTGGAGGTACAGGTTCCGACATGGACACCCTCTTGATTTCAAAGATTCGGGAGGAATACCCAGACATGATGATGCTCACCTTCTCCGTTTTCCCTTCAGCCAAGATCTCTGACACCGTGGTCGAACCCTACAATACTACTATGTCCGTCCACCAGTTGGTCGAGAATGCCGATGAATGCTGTGAGTAGTATTATTTCCTAATAACATTACACAACTTCATTCTTTAGTATATTTCAGCAAGATAGACAATCATTCTTTTTCCAAATCACAGATACCCCCTCTCATCTATAAATATTTTACAAATTACACTTCAGAAGGGAAGGGACTTTTCTTGAATGTAATCGTGTTGTCTCCCGTAAAATTTTCCAATTCACAAATGTGATCCCCCCTAAAATCATCTTCTTTTTGCCTCTCTCCATTTGGCGACCTGAACCACCTAATCTCGGCAACCATGACGGGTCACGTGCTGCCTCCGCTTCCCGGGTCAGCTCAACTCCGAGTAATATGAACGACTTGGTGGCCGAGTATCAGCAGTACCAAAACGCGACTGCCGATGAGGATGAGGAGTACGAGGATTAGCAGCTTGGGGATGATCAGTATGATGGTTGAGGGTTGTGGCTTGTGGGAGTTTTTCTTTTNAGTTCAACTTTCTGTGTGTTTTTGTTATTTTTGCTTGTGTTTAGAGTGGTGTGTGTATATGTAGGTGATTTGTGCGTTTCTGTGTATTTGTTTGGGGTGGGTTTTATTTGATTGTACTGCTACTCTGGAGTTTTTGATGTTATTACTGGTGTTGGACTACAAATTAATTTAATTTTGTTGGGTTTGGTGTTTTACTAATTGTTTTATTCGGCATTTGATGGGAGTAATGTGATCTGCCAATATGTGCATCTGGAATATTGGGCTAAGATATAGTGTTAAGTATGGTTTATTGTTATTTTGTATTTTAAATCGTATGATAATGTATACAATAATTTTTATTCTATTATATATCATTATGTTTAGATGTTATTGACTTTGCTGTGGAGATCTATCTTATTCAAATAAATAATATATGATTTTTCATATTTTGTAGATCACTAATCTATCAATATAAAAAAGAAAAGAAAAACTATTTACTTAAATTAGAAACTAAATTTCAGTTTAAAATTTTCAAAGTTTCTTAACTCGATAATTTTATTTGATTTTTTTTTGGAAATTCCGCCTACACAATCGATAAATTTTTTCTATTTTTTTCACCAAATCACATCACAAATTTTTCTATTTTTTTCACCAAATCATACGGGAAATTTATAATACTCTACGTACTATAAATTATTGATTAATAACCTTCAACTTATAAATTTTATCAAAACATTTTTCGATTTCTATTTTTTCACCAAATCACATCACAAATTTTTCTATTTTTTTCACCAAATCACACGGGAAATTTATAATACCCTACGTATTATAAATTATTGATTAATAACCTTCAACTTATAAATTTTATCAAAACATTTATCGATTTCTATTTTTTTCAACCAAATCACATCACAAATTTTTCTATTTTTTTCACCAAATCACACGGGAAATTTATAATACTCTACCTATTATAAATTATTGATTAATAACCTTCAATTTATAAATTTTATCAAAACAAATATAGCCCGTGCATCGCACGGGTTACGTACTAGTTGAGTCTAAAGCACGTATCATTTTAAATAAGACTACACGGGTGTCGATAAAAAAAAAAAATCATAAATAGTTTTAAAAAAATATGCATAAATGGAAGTTTTTGTTTCACGTTTTAAATAATTCTTAAAACATTACATTATATTTATAGTTAAAATGACACTTATCACTTGATAGTATTATAATAATTTGTCTGTCATATTATATAATAAAATTTTCCAAGTCATGTTATGTAGTTAATTATGATAGTTAAATTTATTTAATTGATAAATAATTTATTTGTTTTAGTTAATATTTTATATATAATTTATTTTTATACACAATATGGATACCAAATTGAAGCTCGTTAAGATATGATTAATTTCAAATATCATATATGAAATTCCAATAGCAATTAGAAAAGTAATTAACTTTTGAAATATTTTAGTACAATACTCGTGTACAACGCGGGTGCTTGTTAAGAAAGTTATATTTAAAATTAAATAATAATAACAAAAAAATTATTCTAGTTCTTAAATACTTTTTTGGAAAAATATATTATTATTTAAATTTAAAATAACACCGTCACTTACACGACTTACTATTCATATATTATTATTTTTGTAATTTATATCAGATAACTACTTTATAGTTAAGCTAGTTTAAATAATTAAATTTTTTTAATTAAATATATAAAGGTAATTTAATTTTAATTATCAAAACAAATAAATAAATTTGTTTATTTGTTTTGTATGTATAATATAGATGTCAAATCGAAGTTGATCAAGACATGATTAATTTGATACATTATATATAAAACATTATTAATAAATATCAAAATCATTAACTTTTAAATATAATTTATGATTTAAGTTAGTAAATTTGTTACTGTTTTAAAAGTAAAATGAGAGAAAAAAAAGATTGAGAAAAATATTATACCTTATAAACCACGTCTAAAATAGAAAATGATATTAAAGCATAACATTTAAAAAATACCATAAATATCTAGTATATTTTTAATTTTCGTAAAAAACTTTTCTCTCTCGACCGAAAAAAACACCGAACCCTAGCGCCGTTCTCATCTGTATTGCGTCGCCTTCCTCGGCGGCGGTGCGGCGCCGGCCGATGGTCGCGTTCGACCGCCGCCCCTCCTCATCTGTCCCGGACCTCCGGTGTTGCCGCGGTGTACTGAAGCTTGTCGGTCTGTCTATCCCCTGTTCGCCGGTGTTTTTGCGATTGGAGGCGGAGAGCTTTGTGGTTGTCGATTGGCTGCAATTGGTGCATCTTTTGCCCGTCAGTCTTGATTGAAGGTGAGTCTCCCTTCAATTTCGGCTTCTGCTCTTGTCTCTGTATATATTGGTGCGATCGAAGGGCCCTTTTGGGTGGTCCGATTTTTTCCGGCGAAACCCGTTTGGGGTTCTTCTCTTTCTGGTGCCGGTGACATGTGGCGGTATTGGCTGGTCTGTTGGTCGAGAGGCGGGGCGGGGCTCTGATGGTGTATCTGAGTTGAGGGCCCGAGCCACCCCCCTATATCGTCTAGTGGTGTTAGACGAAGGGATTCTGGCGCTCCGCCGCTCGGCTAGTGGTGTTAGGCGTGCTCGGATAGTGCTAGAGTGGGTGCGTGTTCGGTTATCCTTCCGGTTGAGGCGGGTTGCTTTGGAGTTTGGTTTGTGTTCGGGCTCGACTTCTTGTATAGGCCTTGTGGCAGTTTCGGGAGCCGTCCCTGGACTTGGATTATCCTCTAATATTGACCGTTCTCCATTGGTTCGAGCTGGCTGACTTGCTGTGGAAGGGCCTTATTTATTTAGCTGTGTTTTTCCTTCTTTGTTTTTTAGTAGATTGGGCTGTTGTTCTCGTTTAGTGTTTGTATTTGTGTTTGTGTTTGTCGTTGTGTTTTAGGTTTGGGCCGTTGGCCTCTGTGCGCCCGGGTGTCAAATCTATTACTCCGTGGGGGTCCGACACTCGGGTATTACCCTGTTGGGGTCTTGTTTTAGTTTTGTTTGTGTAGTTGATTTAGTGTGGTTGTGTTTTTTTGTTGTCTTTTGTGTTTTTCCCCGAGTATTACCCCGTTGGGGTCGGCTCTAGGCGATCTCTGGATCTGCCTCCCAGTTTTCTAGTCTTTGGTTGTACTATTCAGCCTTTGGCTGCTTTCTCTTCGCACTTTGTGCGGTTTTATTAATATAGTACATATAGCGTTTCGGGAAAAAAAAATCTAGTATATTTTTGGATATTCCAAACTTAGTTATTTTTTGATTTGAAATAAATTAAAATTCATACAAGCCAACAACAAAGCTTAAAAATTTTGCGACATAGGATACCGAAGCGTGCAAGCTTGCCCTTTAGGCTCAACACATTTGGAGAATATGTATAGGGGGGATTTATAATTTCAAATGGCCAAGTGTTTTATAATTTTAAAAGTCTTAATAGGCATTTATACAAGTTCATATCTATATTTGTACTCTAAAGCAAACACATAAAATTACAAAGCACACAAATCAATACTCAAAGCAAACACATAAGACCACAAAGCACCCCAAATTGTTACTCTAATGCAAACACATAAGACCACAAAGCACCACAAATCGACATGAGTACTCCGAAGCAAACACATAGGAGTTAGGACTATGAAGCATCACAAGTCGACGTATATGATTAGGAAGCACCAGAAGTTAATACATAAAATTGGAAAGCTACACATATATATTAGGGAGGGATTATGTTAAGTGATTTATTATTTACTAGTGTGTAGCCCGTGCGATGCACGGGTAAATAATATTAAATACTAATTATAAATTAAAGATGATAGTAAACAATATTAACTCATAATTATAAATTAAATATGAGGGTAAACAATATTAATTAATAATTATAATTAAAATATGGAGTTCATATGTGACATAATTTATCGTATATCAGATGTAAACAATATAAAATTATCTTGTATAAAATAACATAAAAAATGTATGTTTAAAATATTAAAAACACCTAAAATATTATATAACGTATGTAAAGTATCTAAAATTTTATATATCCTTATTGAAAGATGCGAAGTCACATAAAATTTTTCTAAACTATTTTATAAATAAAACATGTTAAAATTATTTAAAAAATATTGCGTACAATATATTATTCAATTTCCAAAAGATGATGATAAGTATAAGTTTGAATTTTAGAATCCACGTGAGTATTAATTTTTAGATCCGTGTACTATACAGATTATTCATTATGTTAATTTCCTCTGAACTTCACGTTGATTTATTGATTCTATTTTATTTCCAACAAAGTTGATCGTCTAATTTTGTTTACCATATTTTCGTGGATATTTAACAAAGTCGATTGCATTTATAAAATGATTTGGATATCAACATACAATTTTTAATGGAGTTTTCAAAATTGTGTACTATTAACAAATAATATATTATCATTAAATATATTTTTTTAAATGCACAATTATTGAGACTGAGAATTTGAAAATTATTTTACCTTTTGAAACCGAGTATAAAAAAATAATAGATTGGTAAAAAAAATAATAAACATTACCAAGTTTATTATCACACGTTCCAAATAAAAAAATTGTGATGATTAGTGGAAAATGATATGTAAAGAATAGCATTCAATATATTTTTTTTGAAAGGCATAAATATAAAGACCAATATTCTAAAATTTTATTACTTTTTGAATTGAGATTTTATAAATATAGAGACTTGGATTTTAATGTTACTCGGTGTTTCTATGAAAAAAAAATAAAAATAAAAAATGCACACTTAATAAATCTTAGCTGAAATTTTTAAATAATAAAATGAATTAAACCCAAAATATATGCAACATTTAATGTTAGTATGGTTTTTTAAAGATAAAAATATAAAATAAAAAATACTTACTATTTATAGGTTGCATTAAATTCTCTCCTATTTTTTTGCTACTATTTTTGT